ACCCCGCACAACATGATCTACTCGACCACCATTATGGTTACCGCCAAAAAAAGTAACTNATAGTCGTGCATGCCGTAGTCGTCAGACCATTGACCTCGCATCCCTGCAACAGCCGGGACAGAGCACGCCAGGTTCTCACCGGACCAGGCTCTCGCATCAACAAGCGCGAAGCGCCGGGAGATATTCGGCGAGTCGCATGAAGGGCGCGCTGCATCCTGCTAAGGGTTTTCGGCATCTTGTGCTTACTTTCTTGCGTACGGATGACAGCTGCGTATGACTAAAATTTACTTTCTGGTGCTTTCACTTCCAGAGACAGTTGTAAGCACTGTGTAACTGCCTCGAGGGTGCTTGACCATTTTGACACAACGTGGTGCGATCATCCCCCTTGCGCTTAGTGAGGGTTCTCGACCCCGCACAACATGATCTACTCGACCACCATTATGGTTACCGCCAAAAAAAGTAACTAGGTTGCCGAGTTCACGAAGTGACTTGGCTTGTTTTACAACGTCGTTGCCAAGCGACGAAGACCCATCCCCGACGGCAAACACGGAAGAGGGTGGGAGCAGCAAAAATAAGACAAGCGAAGGGAAATCGTCGCTCCGGGGAAAGCAAGTCTCTTTCAAGGGGCAAGAGAACAACGAATCAGCAATCGGAATGTCGAGATTTGAACTTTAAAAAAAATAATTGAAGTGGCCGAGGGAATCTGTGGTTACGTCCTGTACAACAGGGTTATGCATGTTCGTAGACAACCAACACGTGCCACGACGTTAAAGGAAAACAAAACTTGGACGCACCAGCTCCAGGGGGTGGCCCGGGTGGTCCTTGAGGAAGACGCTGATGATCTTGCGGATCATCGTGTTCTTGCCCATGAGCACCGTGGCGGAGCCGCGAAGCGCATAGCGGATCTTGGCCATCTGGTTAGACCCCACGTTGTCGGCCTGAAAGAGGAAAAAGGACGGATGAAATAGTCACGGTAGAGGGGGTGTGAAACGAGGGCCTGCGAGCGGCAGCGGTGGCCTGGCGAGGATATACAGGGCCACCTGCGTTAATCCAACCGGCGCCACGGCATCTGCGTGTTATCGTCGTGGAGCAACTAGTCGGGTCCTGTCGGCACGCTCGAACCAGGCAGCTGCTGAACTGCGCAGCAGTGCCTGTAGGAAGCCGTGTGCTTGCCTAGGTGTACCGATCTCAGCAGCACTGCACAGCTCCGGGATAAGCAATAGCTACATAGATAGGCTCCGGCATCGGCATTTTGTGCCTTTGTGTATCCCCGAGCCGTGCATCAGTGCTGCTGAGATCGGTACGCGTCGACAAGCACACGGCTGCCAATAGGGACTGCTACGCACTTCGGCAGCTGCCTGGTTCAAGGGCGCTTACAGGACTGGGTGCACGCGTCATCGTGTGTACTGCTGCTAGTCCCAAGTAAACATGCGAACGGGACGGGGCACACGGCTATCTATCCATACTGCTGTACGCTCATGCATAGACGACGGGACGCACCTGCACCAAGAAGATCTTGGTGTGGTTCTCGAGGAGGTCCTTCAGGCGCTCGAAGTACCATGTCTTGCGTTCCGGGGAGAGCGGCATCTGGACATCAAAAACGAGACACGCGCACAGCCAACGAAGGTGGTGGATTGAGCTTAGCTTAAGCTTAATGCGGCACCTCATGCGATAACCATGCCACACAATTTTTGTCTCTACTGCTGTGCTGTGTACGTAACCGTTACAGCAGTGCGAGTCCAGGGCACAACATCCGCGACCAATACGGCCCTGACGAGGGGGCGAGTAGCCATGCTCGTCGATCGCAGTTACATACCCACGATACGACAATTTGATGCTAGAGAACAACAGAGAACAAGCGCACGGGATAGAGGGAAGGATAGTGTGCAGGTGGCTACAGCAGTCGATGGGAAACGGGGACCAGGTGCAGCAGTGGACCTGGCAAAAGCCAACAGAGGGCTTGTACAATGTATCGCTGTGAATATGCAATGAGTAGAACCCAAAGGACCGGGGATTTGACTTAGAACCTGGTACGTGTCCCAAGTCTGGAATTGAAGAATGACAGCATCATACACCTCGTCGAACGTTGGGAGCAGCTAAAGCAACCAAGCGATTGATTGTGGATGCCGCTGTGCACCCACACACAGGATGGCGGTTTGTTGTCGTGTGTTGGGTGGTTCAAAAATCGTGCTCGGTGTCAACAGCATATCGACCTCGCAGAGAGATATACGCCGCCCTGACGAAAGGGCAAGCCCAGACAACTGTTGAGACAAGCCCAGTGACGCACTTACTCACTGCGCCTTGCGCAGTCGCACACACAGCCTGGCTCTGTGTGGGTTGTACCGGAGTTCGTGGCTGAGAGGGGCTCTACCAGCAATCATCAAATTTTTAAGGACACGAAAGAGTAGCTCAAAGAACACCTCGCCAAAACGCATTCCAGCGACTCAGGGCTCACCTTGAGCGACGAGGTTGAGGTGGCAGAATGGGCTCCTGTCCCAAACTATTTTTAACCACGCTCAGCACTTTTTGAACCGGATGAGCAACACGGCGCACGGCGCTCCAGAGACGCACACTCGATGCCGTTCATTCCACGGAGCGTCGTCCCCCCACAATAATGGCAATCGCTTTCGCGGAGCTCCTCCCGTTGCGCCGCATGTTGGTTCCGCACCCAGCATCCCACACCAGACACACATCCCGCATCCCACACGAAGCCAATGCCAGCGTGCATATTTGCGGAATGCTCAGTGCTGCCTTTGTCCTAGCCTTGTCAAGCTCCTTCGGTTCCAGGGTATCTGCGTTCTCCGGGGCGTCGTCCCAATTCCGATCGGCGACGGTCCGCAACACCAGCAGACGAACATCCACAACAGGAAAGGTAACACCAACAGCAGCGGCAGCAGCAGCAGCAGCACGGATCGTCATGTCGTCTCCCGCAGCGGCATTCATCGATATCGGGGCGAATCTTCTGGACGATGTCTTCCAGGGGAGGTACCACGGCGGCTCGCAGAAGCACGAGCCTGACCTCCACGCAGTGCTGGAGAGAGCGAGCGCTGCAGGGGTGGAAAAGGTGCGGCGTTGGTGTGTTGTTTGCTCCGTCGGCGGTTCGTATATTCGACACCAAGTGCGCGTGCTTAGGCTGTTCGCGGATCCCTTCTTTCACAGATGTACACGCGGTCGCGTCCTCCAAGCTCGGCCCAAATACTGAACATGCCAGCTATTTCGGGTACCACTTCCCTCGATCACGAGAGGAATGAAAATTGTTGGCGTTTCTTGCATAAAGGTTGTAGCACCACCATGTTTGAGGGTCGTCTAGATCTCTGGATGCGGCCACAACCTGTGCGCATGTGTTCCTCATGTCCTCCGTTGCTCGAGTCCCGAGTCATCTTTGTTTGTTGGAGGAAGTTCTACAGTGTACAGCAGCAGTAGAGCTTTGTGGTCAAGTTGGGGCCCCTGTTCGTTGGAGTTGATGCAGATAGAATGGGGAGATTTTGGAAGTGCGGTGATTTAGGGTGAGTGCCGCCCCCCCTTGGTTTGAAGCCGAGAGACTTGCGCATGTAGCTTCAGCAAAGTCCAGAGAGGAGAGCGAGTGTGCCACCTTGTTGTTGTTTAGCGACATATGAAGAAAGTCCAGACCAGCACCGGTGAGAGTGGTTGAAAAACTGGTTGTTAGAGAGATGTGACGATCTTGACAGAGGTGGTTCACATCCCAGGAAACCCTGACCAAGCCTGTCCCGCGGTTTACAAAAGGATAGAAGAGTCCCACATTTGACGAAGCTGCCGGATGATCACTTATGCACACGAATGAATCAATCACGAGAGAGGGTGAGACTTGGCCAGAAGAGGTTCTACATGTCAGTTCTGTTTTGCGGGTTCAAAGCCGATCAGATCAAACCCCAGTTGCAGCAAAAGGCATTCTATCCGAACGTACAATTGACGCGGGCATATAGCCTCATGACACAGCTGTACTCTCGAGGGGTGCACGCAAGTTTCCTCACACAAGACAACCGTACTCTCTTCACAACCAGCTATGCAGACAGGTAGTCAACCACGCTTACCGGTATTGTCTTGGACTTGGCTGTGTCGCTATACACAATGATAAACTTTTCGGGGACGGCATAGTCGCTCTTGTGGGCTTTGCTGGAGAAATTATTGTCACTCTTCGGTTGACCAAAGGGGGGCGTGTACCTATCATGCAATGTTCCCGACTACCCCAAAACGTTCTGTGGAACTTGTGGGGAAATAGGGGGGATGCGAGTGGACGTTAGTTTTTGTTTCTATCTGCAGATCTTCCTAGAACAAATGTAAGTGCTGCTCCGACGTACTTGTCCGACCCCCCCCACCCCCCCACCCCCCCCCTCCGGGGAGACTCATCGTGCTTCTTCTGTACATTGCGAGTATTGCCGTTGGGTCAATTACGTGCCCAGTCTCTCCCTCGAATCACCCCAAACTCGCGCCTCTCTGCCGCACGACGGACGAACACCGCCGGAGCAGATGATCGTGACGGCTGGTACCCTCGAGGAGAGTCGCGAAGCGCTGGCGCTCGCCAAGTCGCACCCCAACCTCTACAGCACCGTGGGTGTACACCCCACGCGGTGCTCGGAGTTCTTCGGCGGCGACGGCGGTGGCGATGGTCCCGAGGCGCACGTGGCGGCTCTGGCAGCCATACTGGAGGAAGGCAAGGCAGCCGGCAAGGTGCGACCTACCCCACGCAGCAGCTGTCGCCTTGCGAAGCCTTCTTTCTGCTGTGCTCGTGTCTGTGTGCTCGTTCAATGCGCGCGTGGACAATATTGCCTGAGCAACAAAAATTTGCGTGTGTTGCTTATCTTATCGCGGTACGTGGAGGATAACGAGACCTGCGCACCTTATAAAACGGGTATTTGGAGGTGAACAAGCTGTTGTACTGCAGGCAAGGTTGACTCCAGGACCTTGTATACAATAGAGGGAGAGAGTGAGAGAGAGGAAAGCGAGGTGCCCTGCCGGGGGGGACGTCGCCCTAGCGCCCTACCACCAACCCACGTAACTCCCAGGGTCCCCGCAGATCAGTGTCTATCGGTCCTAAGTTTTCCGTTGTTTTTGCGCTCTTGCATCCAGGTGGTGGCGGTCGGTGAATGCGGCTTGGACTACGACCGTCTGCACTTCTGCGGCAAAGAAGACCAGGTGGGATGGGCTTGATTGTCCCATTTTTCTGGAGGCGGTGGGGTGTGCAAGCGCGTAATACGTATGTTGGCTTCTTGGCTTCTTGGCGCGCGAAGACCCCTTTGAGCACTACCCTGGGCACGTTCATGAGCTACGGGACGACGGTTGATTTGTGCTGTACTTTCTCCGTGGTGTCTTGTCTTTTTTGTTGAGACGTTCCCCTCCCCGTTCCCACCTCTCCCCTGAAATCGCCACCGCAGGGCAGCATCCGTCTGACGTCTACTCTGGGATCGACTGCTGAACACTGCCACTTGGGGGGCCCATGTCATCTCGCACTCACCTGCCGCGCTGTATATTCATTTTCCTCCGTGAAGCTGCCTATGTACCTACCTCTATGACAGGCGAAGGGGTTCGAGCTGCAGTTCGAGCTGGCGGAGCGGAGCGGGCTGCCGGTCTTCTTCCACTCAAGGGCCTGCAGGGAGGACTTCGCCAGGCTCGTGAGGCGGAATCGGGATCGGGTATCGGGCGGGGTGGTGCACAGCTTCACGGGCACGAGGGAAGAGGCGGAGGAGCTCGTATCCATGGGTGCGTGTTTTTGTTGGTAGTTATCATTTGTTTTTATTGGCCCACTCGTGCACTACAGTATCGCGCGAAAAAGGTCTACAGTCCCTTGCCGTCGATTTTTGTCGCGGGGATTTCCGGGGCGCCCAGCCTAGCACTCGTTACAGCAGCAGTACACGCGCGCGCGCGCGTCAGTCGTGCTACCTAGTGGAACATCCTTGGCGCCTGCACGTTCTGATCGCCGCTGTATACTGCGCGGTCTGCAGCACGGGCAATATGCAACCAGTCTTCTCGGCGCTCTGTACACTCAGCCGTGAGTTGATTTCCCGATCATGCTTGGTGCCCTGAGGCTTCATGGTAGTGGTTGTGACCCCTTCGAAAACCCCCTCCCGCCCCCCTTTCCGTCTCATTCTCGCAGGCTTGTACATTGGAATCAACGGGTGCTCGCTCAAAACGGAGGAAAACCTCGAGGTATGATGCGTACGAAACACGACGGGTGCCGTGTGCCGTGCGGGGATGGATAGGGGAGAGTGCGAGAGGTAACTGCAATAAACAGTACAACAGCAACACGAGTGAAAACGCTTCGCGCCGTCCAACGTGATCGTCCGTCCGCACGTGAGCCGTACACGGGTGCTTTTGCCCGAAGGGGTGCTCTAATTTTCCGTGCCTGGTACACGTACTATTCACCGACCTTGTGGAGGCGTCGATCGATCGTTCCTTCATGCATGTGTATGTGCAATGTGCGTGTGTTTTGAAGTTAAGACGGACAAAAAAAAATGTGTGTGTTTCCTCTCACCCCACCCTGAAGCCTCTCGTTCGCTCGATACCGGTGCCTGTGTTTATTGTCGTGTGCCTGCTGGTGATGACAAAATTGCTCGGTGCCAAACCACAGCACCACCAACAAAGTCAACACATTGTTGTGAAACAACGCCAACAACCAACAACACCATCATCAACAGCAACAATATTAGCAACAACAACAACCCTTCAGGTGGTGCGCTCGATCCCAGGGGACAAGTTGATGCTGGAAACCGACGCCCCTTGGTGCGAGATCCGCCCGTCGCACGCGGGATCCAAAACGATCAAGACGACCATCCCGTGCCGCAAGAAGGAAAAATTCGAGGTCGGGTTTTGCGTCAAGGGCCGGCAGGAGCCTTGCCACATTGTCCAGGTGGGAGCGTGCGTGTCAGTCAGCACAGACCGTGGTGTGTGCGGGGACGTACGCACACGTGTGAAGGAGAACTAGCTGGCGCCGATCTTTTCTGTGGTTGGCGATGATGGTGGTGGTGGCAGTCGTCGGTGGGGATGTTAATCACGGGAAGCACGCTCGTGATTGGTCGATCCTTTTGTGGATTGTGAAGATGTGACCAAGTTGGCGCGCACACGCTCGCGCGATATTTAGCGTCATTTTTTTTTGTTAGCGTCGACCGCGCTTACCGTCTGACCATTTAAGAACAGGCCAGGCTTAGGCTCAGTCCTATAATAGCGGGACAATCAAACGCGAGCACACGTCTGAGTCAGCGAGCCCCCCCGACAGAGGCGCTCGGGGGGAGACTGGACGACAGGGTCCAATTTCGTCATTCAGCGTATTCGCAGATGGAAAACCACAAGGGTAATGTGATGTGCTGCTGTCAGCGGCACATCAGCCCATGTTCGACTTCAGCGGCACATCAACCCATGTTCGACTTGGATGCGTTCTCCGGCAACCGGAAGTGCCACAAGCAGCGGGTGGCTCCAGATGTTACAGCTGGGTAAAGTTGTAAACACCCATGCGCT